AACTTTGATTATGAAATTCTAACAACTTTAATGAACTTTAAACTAAACGCAACTCAAACCTACAAACTCTATACAAAGAAAGACTATTATAACAGTTCATTTTAAGAACATTCTCAGTCAATATCAGGACTCTCGACACTGATATTGGTTCTTCTATTTCAATATTAAAAAAATATGTATTAAGATTGAGTCAGTGTTTTTACCAAAACAAACTTTGTTTATTTGAATGATTTATATTGTTTTTCTCTCAATCTGAGTTTGAGAGCGGTATGTTTTAACAAGAGGTTTTGAAAAAGAAAATTTCAAGAAGACTATTTAAACAAATACTTTATTTCCAAAGGTCAACCAGTGTTAGCATGGGATACGGTTTGGACCCACAAACCCACACTTTATAGCGTGAATTTTTCATATTTTATTATTCCTCGTCTTACATTCCCAGCATTTTATCTATGATTTCAACCAGTTAGCAATTAATGTCTTCTTTAATTAATAACGTATTTTCAAAATTGCATTTGCGTATTTTGGCAAAACAATAATTAATCATCATACGTGTCATCCGGTGATGCATTTCTTGCTGAAAAGACTAACTTAATTAGTGCTTCTGGCGATGTCTGAATGTTTTCCGCAATATTCATATTTCTACACTTCAATAATTTTTTAAATTAAAGTGTAAAAATATGAAGATTGAAAACATTGGTATGCTTGTTATTACCATACATGCCACAACACTCTTAAGGCAGTGTATGGAGAAGGYCCTTAMAAATTATCAGACCCTTTACGACGGTTCTGTAAGTCCTATGACGAATGGAAAGACATGACAGAGATGAGAAAAACTGAGCATGTACAATGTTCTCAACAGCTAGCAAACCCTCTGAAACGGTYGGCACCTCAAACACAAAATAAGGTACGTAGTACAATCTTACTCAACTGGCCGTATCCAACGCAGCTGAGCAATCCAATGCACCCGATGTTGTTGWTGATGATGATGATTGAAGCGCCCTTTTCTATGTGGATATAATCAAAGGCGCTTTACATGGATTTGTGAATGACAGATTGCTTTTTATGCAATTTACAAGCATGAGAGATGGTTAGTATGAAGTGGAGGCACTGAGGGTGGTCACTGCCAGGGTTTCTTTTTACGTCCTCAGTGGTCCTTTTTTGTCCCCCATTTACTGTAGGTTAGGAAGGGTTGGGAGACAGGGCCTACGGTTTAAAGTCCTTATCCGAGAAGACTTGAAGGTCTAACCATTTGCAGATATAATCACAAAGGCAGCAACTTCTCCTCAGTTAGTTTAAGACCCTGAGTGTTGGTCCGGCCGAGGCTTGAACCACGACCTCCCGCACAACAGACCGACGCTCTTACCAACTGAGCTAACCGGGTGGCGGTAACATCCACTGCCAAGAAACTCGGCATTAGTGCAGAAGAAGCCTGCATCCCAGAAGAATGTGTCAGGCTCTCTACTCTGCAAGATATATTTCACAAAGCTGAGTTTCTGCTGAACACACTAGGTGCAATTACACAAGCAGCATCCAATGATGCCAGGATGCGTACTGTAAAAAGCCGGAGCGGCGGTGTACCACTGATTATACAACCACTAAAGAAAAGTAGCAACCTGTTCAACTGCCAGTGCAGCACATTCAAAGGCTTGGGTATATGTGCAGCGCAGACACAGTAGCTGTTGCYGAGTCTCAAGCTCTGCTATTTGAATACCTCACTGAGTTACGGACTAAACTGTGTAAAAACAAAGCAAAGCCAAGAAGCAAGGGTCGAGGAGATGCCAACATAACGGCCGCAATCGAGACCGGGCTAAAAATCTCTGAATAGGTAAGATGTTATCAAAAGTACCGTTTTATGAAATGCCTAACATAAGATTTTTAGTATTTCGTGATCGGGAAATCGTTCCTTTTAAATAAGTGCAGACAGATCTCGATCCCCAGTTTGTTTACTTACATACTCACATGTAGTTACCCAATGGTAAAGTTTAAATATTATTTTTACAGGTCTCAAGCCAAACGATGCGAAAAAGGTGGCTCGTAGACGTACTGTTAATAGCCCACCAACTAAATCAATTTCCAGCATTGCTCCACCCCAGCGCCAGACAATGGCCACACTGTGTCCTCCAGTATCTGCTGCTCAACAAGGTCCCCAAAATGCAGCACCATCAGCTTCAGCAGTGTTTGAAATGCACAACCCGTATCYYCCTCAGGTATCTGTCKATCAACAAGGTCCTGATCCAACTGCAGTACCATCTTCAATGCACAACCCGTTTTATACTCCTAGGCCCGGTCAACATATTAGCCATGCCAACTTTCCCAATCAGKCGTYTGCATSTAATTTCCAATGGCAGAATGGTTGTCAGAATCTTCACAATATTGGCAACAAGCCAGCAAAACCATTCATGACGCATCAACAGTGGCATTCTGGAATGTCCCATACACACTTTGCAAACTTCCCAACGCTACCAAAAAGTGTTATGGGTGTGGCGAAGAATTTGCTAATAAACACAGAGTGGCACCTCACAACATTGTTGTTATTCACGTCGACAGACGAATTCAAAGGCGTGATGAACACACCGGAATTTTCATTTACATGTTTCACGGATTTTTTATTAGTTAATTGCTTAGTTAAACAAATCAACAGCAGTGTAAGTCACTCGTATGTACTTTTAGCAACAATCCTGGTTGACCGAGTTCTAAAAACTAATAAGAACTGACACGTACCATTTGAGAACTGGCTGAACCAGACTCAACCAGAAAATCGAATATTTAAGACAGTGCAGTAATGCATAAGTCTGTGAGTTGTGAACTCTAATTTTGCTGCTATGCTAGGCTATATTTTCCTTGAAATTTGTCCTGCAATATCGTTGGTGCGAAAAAATGGTATATATATACGTAAGGCTCCTATCCCTTCCCCCCTAGGGGACAAACGGTATAGTAAATTAACCTGTTAAAACTAATTAAAGTGGTATTTTTTTCAGGATTTTACTCCGATTGTACTTCAGGCTCTTCTCAGGTAGTGAAGATGCATGGTGCATTGTGGTCTACCTTGGGTACAAACATATTCTGTTCACGTGCTTTATATGGTATTGATAGTACCCAAAGCTAGACCAGAATGCAATTTTTTTATCGAACTATGAAAAGTCTACTCAAAGAATATTGTTTAGTGATTTGGTAACGAGATCGTAACAATTTCCTTTGCCTGCAGAGGGAAAAGTCTGAGTTCGAGGTTTAACCTCTACTATTCTTTCTCGAACTACCTCAATCTCGAGTCCAGAGTCCTCTTTATTTTTGGTCAGCAGGTTGGTGCTTGATACGAGATTGAATCTACCACAGGTATACTAATTAGAAACCAGTTTTAACTAACAAATATATTCCCATCGATGCGTCGAAAAAATTGTGCGAGTCACTTTACGTGATTGATAAACGGTTTTCAGCATTTGCCCTGGGAATCTCAGTTTGCATTTCTAGTTCCTCAAAAGGAAAATGTTTTATCCGTTTTATTTCCTTCTCAGTCAGCGGTTCACCTTTGTCTGTCGCGGCCACTTTGGATCTGCTTCGATAAAGCAACCTGTAAAACAGACAATAACAAAAAACTTGTATTCTATTCACTCTATCAAAACGCTACTAATCCCGCCCGGAACTCGTTTTTTTTTCTTTTGTTGAAAATATCTTGAAGTAACATGATATACATTTCCAATAGCTTACCAAGCACAAAAACACCTAATATTCAAGTTATTCAGTGAACTCGGTATAAAAAAAACATTGGAATTTAGACTGTCGAAAATGCATGTACAGACACCAAAGTCACGTGATCATGTTCCTCCATGCTGAATGGCAAATGGAATGGAAGAAAAAATATTGACGTGGGAAAGAAAAAGAATTGAAATTTAAAGAAACGGGAATACAGCGCTTCCTTCTCTTGGTTCTTCCCAATCAAACGCGCGAATGAACTCGTACAATTTGTTGTCGCGACAAACTTATAGTGGACAACAATCAAGGCGTTTTGACAACATTATATAGGTAAGTTCCAAGAGAATRTGAACTAGTTCATTTTCTCTTGTAAGTTCTCTTGAAAACTTTGTATTTTCCGACAATGTTATGGAAGCACTTTGATTGACGTCCACCAAAACCTTATTTTATCGAGACAAAAAATTGTACGATCTTGTGATCGTGTGATTGGGAAGCGCTTTAAGGAACAACCAATGAAGTCTAAGTTAGAAAAGTACAATTTAAATGCGTTAAGAAAATACCGTTTTCTGAACTAATACTTGATTGCGTTTCGAATGGAAAAAAATCTTTTTAACTATTAATAATAATTAAATTATTTCTTGAGCGCATTACTCACCACACAGCGAAGAGTATAAGTAACAGAAGTACGACCAACCCGACAGCAGACCCAATAATAATCGGTAGATAATCCGTCTCTTTTGGTCCTGGAGCTGGCTCCTTATAAGGTCGTACATCAGTAACTCTCGTATTGAGGGATTTCCCAATATCGTCTTGATGGGATTCAATAATCTTGATCAAAGTATCTTTCTCTATCGTTGACTTGCCTGGCTGACCAACACCAGGAGGCTGGTTGACGTAGAAAGCTAAATGATTTGGGTTCTCTTTTAAGAAGTCTGGGACTAGATGGACTTGGTCAGCGGTATAGATAATGACGCGGTTGGGATCCCTGTATGAAAAACAATGGCTGTAAAATAAACCATTCATTATCGAACCCTGGAACAACCTCTGGGCTGATCAAAGTCAGGGCATGGCTAACTGCCAGATCGAATGTTGAAATTAAGCGTGTTAGATTTTAAGGAGAAGGAAAGCCGGAGAACCGGAAGAATAACGTTATATTAATACTTCATTTTGACATCATGTTTTAAACCTACCTGGCGCCGCAGTCATGGCTTGCGATTGCGCAGTATTCAGTAACAGCTTTTGCTACTGCTTCTTTGAACCTGTCTTCGTTTTCTTTATTCCACTGATCACAAAAATACAAAACTTTAGCTTTATTTTATCGATACTAAAGTCTTTTGTATATTTTTTTCAAATAGCAAATTTTCACCTGTATAAAGGTAAGGTTTTCCAGCTTTATGATAACTGCGTTCTCTAATTCGTTGTCAGTTGGTGTTTTCGGCGTTGGTGCAGGAGGCGGAGTTGGTGTTGGCTCGTCTTTTTTGAGAGCTGCAGAAAAAATCACTTTATTAAAAACCTACTTTCTCGGTAATACGTGCGCTAATCCTAGGTAAACTAGTTGCGCATTGTTGGCAAGGAAAATAATATCTGTGCGCAAATGATTTTTCTTTGTTCTATGAAACGATTAACGAAAAAAAAATTCCGTGTCAGTGAGTGGTAATAGACCGTTTTCTCAAGG